GCAAGCCACACTGCGAGAAGTATCAAAGTTCTCATGGGAATGTACTGCCCACCCCTCTTTCATGTATCAACTTCAAAGGACAAACTGCAGGTGTAAGGATTTTAGGTAACACACATAGACAGACGTGCTTTACATAGCTAAAAAAAAAAATTGGAGTCAAATTGACCCAAGAGAACCACCGATGTATGCAAAATGTGTACAACTCATTGAAAAAAGTATCATAATGAAAAATTTATGCTTTATCATTTGTCCTCATCAAAATAGGAAAAGACACGTGAACTAAAAAAAAACAGTTAACTATTATTATTTGAATGATTAACATTGAATGGGGTCAAATTGACCACAAGGATGATATGAGGGTTAAGTGACAGAGATTTGCAGAATATATTTATTCTACTTTGGAGCAACAATGCATACATCACTAATCTACCCTTTTGATTTTGACAGCTTGAACAATCAGGACACAATGACAATATGAAAATCCAAGAAAAGCCCAAAAGGGCAAATGAGAAGAAAAACAAGAACGAGAACATCATCTGCAACAACCAGGCTGGCGACCAAGACTACAGAAACAACCCAGATTTTGACAGAGGACATTTATTTCCAAGCTCTTATGGATCTGATCAGATTGAAAAAATGTCGACTTTTACTCTGACTAACATTGTTCCACAACAAAGCGATTTCAACACAGGAAGCTGGAACAGAATGGAAAACTGTGTCAAATGTGTTTTGAATGAATACTGCATTAACAACAATGACAAAATAGAAGGCTTTGTAGTAATAGGAGCACTGCCCAGCAACAGTAATCTCAACAACAAGATCAATATTCCTTCAGTGCTCTGGTCAGCATTCTGCTGCTTCAGTAAAAGTCAGAACAGCTGGCTGGCAAGTGCACACTGGGGGGAGAATGTGGCCGATGGCCCTAAATACCTGCAGACACAGACCTTAACAGAACTCCACAGAACCCTGGGAATTGAACCATTTCCTCAAACACAATGTCCTCTTGACACAACTGTCACTCGCTTTTACTCAGGTCTTAACCCTGCCTGCAGCTGCCCACAAACCATGTTGAGTACATCTGCCCCTCCTACTTCCACAGGTACTCCTTTAGTTTCTTTTTCTACTACAACATCTAATTCACCACGCCCTAGCAGTACCACATCCTTTTATTCTACTGCAACAAGTCTACATCTAGCTCTATTCCTATGTTATCTGTCTCTTCTTCTACCACAATTTCATCATTTAGTACTCTATCTGTCCCTTCCACCTCATCTGGCCTTTTCACATCTACATCTGCTCTTCTTACAACAACATCTGCCCCACCTTCTACCACATCTGTCTCCTTAACTACCACTTCTGTCCTTTTCACATCTACTTCTGCTCCTCTTACTACAACATCTGCCCCACCTTCTACCACATCTGGCCCCTTCACTGCCACATCTAGAATTTTCACATCTACGTCTGTTCCTCTTACTACAAATCTGGTCCACCTTCAACCACAACTGGCCCCTTCACTGCCACAACTGGCCCCTTCACTGCCACAACTGGCCCCTTCACTGCCACATCTGGCCATTTCACAGCTACATTTTTTCCTCTTACTACAACATCTGGTCCACCTTCTACCATTTCTGCCACTTCCACCTCTGTCACTGGCCACTCTAGTACTAAATCCAGACCTACACCTAAAGACACATTAACAACTACTTTACGGCTAACTACCACTCTCCTTACTACCACTCCACTTCCAACTATCAAACCCCAGACTTCTACTATTCCAACAACACTTCCTCCAAGTGCCAAAACTATTGCTGCTACAACAAAACCTTCCACTACAACCACAACTAAAAAGAAGCAAGATGACTATGAACGCAAAAAAGAAAGAACTAATAGACAAAATGAGGTAAGTCCAGTTCCCAATTCAGTTAATGCGAGGGGAGTAGGTGGAGCTGGAAGTGTGTTACCAGTAGGTGGAGCTGGAAGTGTATTACCAGTAGGTGGAACTGGATTTGCATCAGAAGGTGGGAGAGCGGGAAGTGTGGGAGCTGTAGGTGAAGCTGGAAGTGGATCATTAGGAAGTGAAGAGGGCAGTGGATCATTAGGAAGTGAAGATGGAAGTGCATCATTAGGAAGTGAAGAGGGCAGTGGATCATTAGGAAGTGAAGATGGAAGTGGATCATTAGGAAGTGAAGATGGAAGTGGATCATTAGGAAGTAAAGATGGAAGTGACTTACTAGGAAGTGAAGATAGAAGTGCATCATACTGCGTCTGCATCTTCCAGCAGATCTGTTTCTCTTGCTTTTCAAACCATAAATGCTTCTTATCCAACAACAAATGCTTATGACTTAAAATCCACTTCAGCTGACTTTCTCATTTGTAGTCTACTTTCTCTTCACCTCCAACTCCAACCTCAGACCAACAACCAAATCCCTCTATCCCATGTGTTCCTATTACACAGTTCACTCACCAGATGGTCCTTGCCTCCAACCAATTGTTATACCAATACAACATCAGCTAGATTTGTCCTGGAATGTTATACTGACTCTGGATCCCATTATCTTGACCTCCAGTAACACTGAGGAAACTTGAGGAAAGTTGTTTTTGACCAGAATATGCCTCCAATCTCTTCTATTTGCTTAATATCGCTAACATTAGAAACATTCGATCTCGGAGTAATACTGAAAATCTACCATCATTAAATCTAGAGTGGACTTTTGTAATTCATTATTATCAAGCTGCTCTTAAAACTCGTAGAAAAAACTTCAGTTGATCCAAAATGCTGCAGAAAGAGTACTGACAGGGAGTAGAAAGAGAGAGTATATTTCTCCCATGTTGACTTTTCTTCATTGGCTCCCTGTTACATCTAGAATCTAATTTAAAATCCTTCTCCCCACACACAAGGTCTTGAATAATCAGACCCCATCTGATCTTAATGACTTTCTAGCACCATACCACCCCATTAGAACATTTCAATCTCAGGCTGTGGCTTATTGTGGTTCCTAGAGTATTTACACGTAGAATGGGACGTAGAGCCTTTAGTTTTCAGGCCCCTATTATGTGGTACCAGCTTTCAGTTTGGACTCTGAAGGCCGACACCATCTATAATTTTTAAGATTAGGCTTAAAGACTTTCCTTCCCACTGTCACCAAGTGCTTGTTCAAAGGACGTTGTTTGGTTGGGAAGATTTTCTCTGCAATATTGTATGGTCTCTTTCTTATAATACCTTATAAAAAGTACCTTGAAGTGACTGTTGCTGTGATTTGGCACTTCATAGATAAAACTGATTTGAATTAATTAAACAAAACCAACTGATGATTTCTTTCAATCTTATGTTTTATTTAATTAATATGCATCAGAATCAAACGCTGATAATAGAATTCATTTACTCTTTTTGGCTTCCAAAATCCATTAAATGTATATTGAAAGAAATTGTGGCTTGTCACTTTCTTTTGACAACATTAAGCCCACACACACTGGTAACACAACAGCAGCAGCGGTCGTGACACTTTCACAGTTTAAGGTAGAGTCAGCAACCTGTGGAAACCCAACTTTGTAGCCGCTCCTTCGACCGTCATTTATTTTATACAGCAGGAAATCTGCACTTCCAGGAGTTGGATTAAAATAAGAAGAATAACTGTTAATTTGGTCTTATAACATATTTAAATTATACAGCTTGCTGTATATGTAAACTAATGGCTGATTGAATATTAAATCATATAAAATACTGTATTAATTAAACCCAGTTAGTATTTCAAAATATAAAAAGACTTTTTTTACAACCCAATAGAAATGTGGGCCAATAAACTCAAGTTAAAGGTTACATTTTTTATGGCTTATTATAGATTTTTTTTTAATTTATTATTTTATGGAATTTGACCTTTGACTGACCTATGACATTACATCCAATGTGTTTGCATGTACTGCGTTTTGTTAGAGGTTTTTGGATTTTTATTGAGTAATACTGCAGAGAATCATAATGTTAATAAATTAAATCAGTGACTGTGGCATCACAGTTAGCTTGAATACCAAAAGTCACACCTTTCAGCTGTTGTTTACACAGGAAAACCCTGTAGCAGCCTCACTGAGCAATTACTAACACTCAGACTGGCCAAGAGTAACATCAGCCAGCCACTCGGCTCCACATACACAGACAGACTGGTCTTACTGAAAAGCCTCCTTTTTTTCCTGTCTCCTCAACCTCTTCTGCCCTCTTCTCTCTTGGCACACAACTTGGAAGGAATCAGCCTTTCAATACCTTTAGAAATACTGCAGTCTAAGCTCCTTTTTATATAAATAGAATGATTTAGAAATGCAGAAGATTGACATCTATCGTATCAATGTGCAGCGCACTTTGTATTGGGCAACCTCCCATCTTATCTGTAAATTATGATGTAATGTCAACTAAATGCTCCACTCCCACCACAAAAAACACTCTACTCACTGTTCACTGAGATCACTCAGCATCACAGCTCAGCATCAGTTAGACTTCACGAAAAATTCAGAGACGAAAAGATTGATTTCAGTTTTCAGTAAAAGTTATTGGAAACGTTTAGCATTCACTTTCAGTGTCCAGTCCAAACATTTTTGTGTGTCAACAGATTGATGTGCAAACATGTTAAACGGCATACTCAGTTACTTCGTGGCAAAAGAAGTGTGGTTGGCTTTGGCTGTTTTCCAGTTTTAAGAGGTGGTTTAAGTACATGCTGGGAAACTTGATTGAGTGCTGTGTCCCAAATAATACCAACATCTGTTGTTTATTGTCAATTATTGTAGAAAAAAACTGAACAGTCCACACACTGCAAAACTTCACATTCCCTATTCATCGCATCTACTACATGGTGTTTTAAGCACACTTGCTCATTATACAATGGCTGTATCCCAATTCAGGGTCTGCAGCCTTAAAGGTCGCATTTTAAGGCCGATTACATCACAGCGATGCAACAAAGGCTGTCCCAATTCAAAGGCTGCTTGAAATGCGGCCCTCAAATGCGTCCTTCATTTCCCTGAATTCTAAGGATGGGTCGGTGTAGCCTCCATGACCCAACATATTCCAGACTTCATAGCACGGCGGTGGGTGTGGATAATTTTGCTGAAAAAAATGGTGGATGGCTGAAGTGGGGCAGCTGAAGACTAAACTTTCAAAAGTAAGTACTGAATATTATGTCACTTATTTATCTGCAAATGTTTAATAATGAAGAACATTAAAACATAACTGTTGGCCACATGTCGGCAAAGTTATGTGACATTAGTGAAGTTTGTACTAACGTGGTTTTAAAGCTTAGGCAAAGTGCCTAACTGGTTTTACTTTTGTGGATAATTAATGTCAGTCATATATCCACAAACACAACAAGCTGAAAGTCAGTGATGCTGCTCGGCTTGCAGTCCTGAATATCACGGCACAAGCAGGATTCACTGCACTGTTAATGTTAGCTATGTTATATTGCTGCCTCTGTTCGGTGGTGTCGAGCCAAACGGACTTTAACGTGTGTTTGAACGAGCTGACGGTTCACTCGTTAAGCTGAAAGAAAGATGCTTTAATCACAGGAGTCACACATGTGTCCACTGTACCAGGTGGAAACGCTTCTTGTTTAGCACTCATAATAACACAAACACTAAATCCTCCTTCTCTTGTGCT